CCCTCTACTCTGCTCTCATGAGAACCCACTTGGAGTATTGTGTTCAGCTGTGAGGCCCCCGACATAAAAAAGACCTGGACCTGTTGGAGCAAGTCCAGAGGAGAGCCACAAAATTAATCAGAGGGCTGGAGCACCTCCCCTATGAGGACAGGCTGAAAGAGTTGGGGTTGTTCAGCCTGGAGAAGAGAAGGCTCCAAGGAGACCTAATAGCAGCCTTTCAGTACCTGAAGGGGCCTACAGGGGAGATGGGGAGGCACTCTTTATCAGGGGGGGTAGTGATAGGACAAGGAGTAATTTATATAAGCTGAAAGAGGGTAGATTTAGACTAGACATTAGAAAGAAATTTTTCCCTGTGAGTGGTGAGACCTGGAACAGGTTGCCCAGGGAAGCTGTGGATGCCCCATCCCTGGAGGTGTTCGAGGCCAGGCTGGATGAGGCTTTGAGCAACCTGGTCTAGTGGAAGGTGTCCCTGCCCATGGCAGGGGGGTTGGAACTTGATGATCTTTAAGGTCTTCTCCAACCCAAACCATTCTATGATTTTATATCCGTTGAGGCTTGGGAGTAAAGAGGGAAATCAATCTGGAGGATGTAGACTTGCAGTAGAGGGGTAGAAAAATAGGAGGTGAATAGAATGCACAAGGTCTTCTAAGTAAAGAAGAATAAGTGTGTGAAGAAAAGGGAGATAAGAGTGGTCTGGGAAAAGCAGTATTACCTTGCAAAGAAGTGAAGTGGAAGTAAACAGAGAACGGGGTGGGGGGAAAAGGGAGAGGGAAGAGGAGAATTCTCTCAAAGACGAGAAGTACAGAAAAAGTTGATGTAAAGAAGAAGGGAAATGCACATTGAGTTTTCAGATTGCTCAGGTGGTGGCTGTCACTGCAAAATTCTTCAGTGCTCTATATTGTGTAAGATTATGGATATTGTTATGCTACTGAGACTCACAGGTAAGGAGAATAAGTACTGAAAGAGGCTAGTATTTGCTCCTTTGCCTTCTCCATCAGGGGTCAGAATGATCCCATTCACTGACATTGAGCCTGTAGTCATGTGTGGTTTTCATCAAGCCTCAAGGTGGCTCTTGAGAGCAAGCAGTAAGCTGTACCTTGTCTGCCTGTCACTGCCCTTCTGCTGCTAACTGATCACTTGCATGATGAAGCAGATGGAGGAACTGATCCAGATGAACACCAGCCTGGCAAGAAAACATTATCTAAACCCTGTGTTTTGAGTTTGTTGGGATGCAGAAGTTCCCTGCCACACATTCTGATTTCTTCTTTTTTATGTTGATTTTTAGGATGCGCACCGGGGTCTTTTCATCCAGCAGCTGCGGCACATGCAGAATCAACAGCCCCGCATCAAACTGAAGCTGTTTGGACATTCTGGTGCTGGGAAAACAACACTTGTGGAGTCTCTCAAGTGTGGCCTGATACGAAGCTTTTTCCGAAGACGTAGGCCTAGGCTTTCCTCCACAAGCTCAAACAGATTTCCTCCGTCTCCTTTGTCTTCCAAACCTTCAGGTATGGCTTCAAAGGTGTAACATCTGAACGAGAAAACATTTTCCTTTTGGTCCGTCTAGCTCTTAAGGAAGAGCTGTGGGCTGCACTGCAGAAGACAAGACAGGCTAAACATGTAGGAAGCCAAAGCTAAGGGGAGAAGGTATTGACTTCCCTGTGCACAGGCTCACACAGTAAGAGTGGAGAGGAGCACCGGGTGTGGAGGATGCAGGAGTAGTTAAGGTTTTGTTTACTTACGTGCTGCGTAAGTGAACTTGGAGAGTGGAGGACAGGACTTGTGAACACTAGCGTTTACTTTTCACAAAAAGTCCTAGGCTACAAATGCCAGTGTTGTGACCAGATTCCACTATCGTGGTTTTGGGGATTATGTTCTGTCAGCCTTTTTGTTTGAGTAGCTTCAATAAACTCGGTGCAAAATTGTAACAGTTGCTGCATCTTTATGTAATATTTAAGTAATAACAGAGGATTCAGAACTCCCTCTGATACCTTGGAGTGCTTTTCTGTGAGGTACAGGAGTGGATTAGCCCAGCTGGAGTGCCTAGAATTGTCTCCAAAGAAGGTGAAAATTGAGGTTTTCTAAACTGAAGTCAATGTGTGCAAATAATAGGGAAACTTTGCCTGTGAAGCACCAGTTGGCCAGTGGGAAGTGGGAAGAACCGCAGGATGTAGAGGAACTAACTAGGTTTAGACTTCAGCATGTGCCTGACTTTGGAAGAACCTACAGCTGTGGCACGAGGACACTGGAAAGAGAAGTGAGCTGTTTGTCCAGGTCACTTTTCTAACACTGAGGGGCTGCGCAATGTATACAAGCTAAGCAGGCACTTTGAGGAACTCAAGTTTAAATTGATGTTTAGTAGTCTTTATACATAGGTTTTCCGTGGGGTCAGTGTTGCCTTTTTGTTTGAAAACCTTTGGATAATAGTTGCAGGTTTAGGTTACATTCATCATTTCTAAGTTATGTTAGAACAGTGCTAGCAGTAGATTTAATCTCTGCTTTCTCGTCACCTGAGGAAGCCAGAAGGTACTCAGAGTGGCTTAACAAGGCAAGATACTTGTCACAGAGATTGTTTTTGCATTTGCTGTTCACTTAACACAAGGGGCTCACATCTGTGACAGCAGAATGAATAAATTAATTAAACGAATCTATTAGAAATTCTTTATTTATTTGTCTTAATTTACTGTGTCATACAAGGGGAGATAGGTCACTCAAGGAATATCAGTTTCTGGAGGCAGTGCAGAAAGGTTTTGACTTAAGACTTTTTTTTTTAATGTTCATTGGTATCAGAGCCAGCGGATAAGTGTTATGCACTCACACCATCGTAAAATCAGACAAGACTGCCAGTAACATTGATAAATCATATAAAAATAATGGTGAATTTGAAGCATGGTCTTAAAAATAGATTACCTAGATATAAAGCCAGGAAGTTGTGCGCAGTGCTATGCACACTTGAAATTTGGGTGATTGTATGCAAACAAAGCTACTACGGTGTCCTTTTAATGTCTGGGTTTTTGGTTTTTGCTTGTTTCAGTATCTTCTTTTTGGATTAAAATCATAACATGTAAATGATGGGTTGAGTGATATAATCTGATAAACATTTAAACCAGCACAATTTGGTCTATACTTGATCATGTGCTTTGGTTTTTTTAAAATATGTAAAAATAAGTGTGTGAATTCACCACATCTTTATTTACAAGAACCTAAATATTTAAATTTTACACGAGAAGATCAAACATGAAAGTATAGTTTTACAGCTGACAGTTTCTACCAAGTATTACAATTCAGCATCTAGTGGAGGAAAGAAATCTTTGCTTTCTCCACTAGATGGTGCAAGTCAACCAAAAAACCCTCTTTGTTTCTTATTTACTAGGGAATCTGAATTAAGCATATCCTAAACAAACTGCTTACTAGTGAAATAATTTTGGTTAAGGGTCTGCTTTTCTCCCACACCTCCCCGGAAACAGTTAAACAATGATATTTTTATTCTTTCTTACAAGAATCAACTATAAATATGTAGCATTTCCATGCCAATGAAAACAGCCCAGGCTATGAAATTGCAGCCCTTAGCTAAAAAAGCAGGATATCTTTGCAACACAGAAGAACTTCATTGAAACCATTCCCATGTCATTCAGTTTTTTCTATGCTTCGCACCCAGCGGCATACCTGCTAAAGGGCAATGTGGGATTATTCTAAGATTTTCCTTTTCATGATTCAGAATAAAGATGTAGTTGTGTATGCTCCCAGCTTTGTAGTCATCTCCTTTCTTTGAAGAGCAGTTTGGCTTTTTAATCAGGTTTTATGCCTTGCATACTTATGTTGAAGTGATCTGGTTGTGATTTTCACATGGTTTGTAATCTCATTTTCCTTTCCCTGACCCAGTTTCAGTAAGCATTACGAATCTTTATCCGGGTTGTGAGAACGTCAGCGTGAGAAGCCGTAGTATGATGTTTGAGCCAGGTCTGACCAAAGGGGTATTAGAAGCTTTCGTTTCACCTGCTCATCACTCTCACTCCTCTGCTGATGACCAGTCCACCAAGGCCATTGACATTCAAAATGCCAGTTTGCATGGTAAGCAGAGCCTGGGCTGGCATGCCTTAATGCTGCGGGACACTTCATGCCACATTGCTTGTTTTTAAAAATAGAAATTAAAAAAGAAAATCTGAGTTGGTATGGTAGTGACTGTGGTTGAGAATCCAGCATTGGTGGGGTTTGGTTTGTTTAAGCAGAAAGTAAATCTGCGTGAAGTTCTCTACCTTTAATATGCATACTAATCACTTGTGTCAGATCCTTATATACAGAAAAAGTCTCTTTCAGATGAGTAAGTAGGGCAGGAGGAATGAGGGATTTCATATAATAGGAGTGGATTGGCAGACTAGTGTGAAGGCTGGCTCCTTCACCTAACATGCATGTCATTTGGGGATTTTACCAAATTTAACCTGGTCCAATAGACCCAAGTGTCCTCACCATGTAAGTAGTTCCCAGCTGTGTGAAGGACCTAGTGTTCTTGCCCTGTGACAGGGCTGAAGCATGTTTGGTGAGCCCTGGCGCTCATCACACATGGTGACTGGAGCTTCTGATTATTTTTTTTTTTTTTAAAGGAAGCTAACTGCACTGCAATTTAAACTAGTTAGCAGTAAGAGAGGCCAGTTACAGAAGCTGTCTAAGTACATACATGGCTTTTGACTCTGAAGCCCATACAAATGGTGCATATACAGCACCAGCCATACTAATCGTCATATAGGTGGTAGGATCTCTCCCAGAAGGATCTCTTCTTAATAAGGAAGATGTTTCGCCTGCATTAGCAGCTGCAGTTTTGAGACTGAGTTAGGATTAGTCAAGATTTTATTTTGGAGAGAGAAACCTATTTATGAATGCAGTATAGGCACACTAACACGTGCAGTGACAAAACATTTGTCCTAGGTGCTGAAGGGTTTGGCACGTAGCTAGAGCTTGTTCTTTGTCCAGGCTAGTTTCCTCTTTCAGTGTAACTTGAAACCAAGTCAAATTCTGCAGTGAAATAGAATTGTGCAACAGACTGTCAAAAGGGGTTTCTTTTCTTTCTCTGTGCTGTCTTGATATAAAAGGGAAGCGTGCACATGGGTGAACTCTGAATAGCTGTACTTACAAAGGCAGACTTGAGATTTCTGCCTTCTTTTCTTCTAAAGGTTTGAGGTGCATCTTAATCAACATTTATTAAAATAGAGGTAGGACAAGTGTGTGAGACTTTACCCTTATCGGATAGTGAGTCTGGGAAGTGCTGTACAGTGCAACACAGCAATACTTTTCTCACCTGAAGCTAAAGGAGATGGCAAAAAGAAGCAAGGCACTGTTGGGATCCTTAACATGGGGGTTCTTCAGTCCTGACTTAACAGTGTGATGTGAATAGTATAATTCTGTAAAACAAAGTGGATTCTTTGAGAATATCCTTCAGCTGCTTTTAATACTAGCGGTGGCATGTTAAAAATAAAAATTAATTAAAACGTTGAGGTTTTTGGGGTAAGCAGGAAAAGAATGGGAGCTGTCATTCTTGTTTTTCAAGGGAATTAACAGATCCGTTGCTGTTTTGCAAGGCAAAGGCCAATTTAATGTGCAAGCCTGCATGTGTTTAACGCATAGGTGCTTCCATGTGGCATTCAGCTGAAAGTCCTAGAGAACTGAATGTGAGAGAGGAACAGGTGGTGAGGACCCAACTTCTCAGCCTCTGAGACTGACTGAAACTTGTTCTCTTTGCTTGTGATTGCATTTGCAGTCTTGCTTTCTCACATGCATGCAGTTTATCTTTGTGAAAGTTTAAATCTGATGAAACTGGCAAACTCTTGTTTGTCTTTCCATGGCAGAAAGATGCTTTGTGCTTATTGACAAAGTGTGATCTCTTAATCTGTTTGTCTGTTTTTCAGGAGTTGGTGATTTCAGCATCTGGGACTTCTCTGGGAATCCTGTGTATTTCTGCTGTTATGATTATTTTGCTGCAAATGATGCCACTGCAGTTCACGTAGTGCTTTTTAGTCTTGAGGAGCCTTATGAAATCCAGTTAAACCAAGTGACCTTTTGGCTCAGTTTCCTGAAATCGTTAGTCCCAGTTGAGGAGCCAATAGGTATGCTTTTCTGCCTGTTAATGAAATATTAGGAGACTAGAAGATAAAGCTTCTTCTGTTTCTCTGCAACTTTGTACATCGTTCGTGTTGAGTGCTCTTATGTCTCTTCATCCTCATCTATTTAAACAAAACTTACACAAGGTTTCTTAGAGAAAGAGAATTGTATTTGTGGAACAAGCCTGAAGCATTGTGCACACCACTTAGTCCGACTAAAAAGGGTTGTGAAGTACAGTGCAGCCTTTTGTGGCACTGGGATTTACATCTGTAAATGGCAGGGTAAGTTTTTTCAGATAAGCTGCATGGAAACATGTTTCAGAGGATTGGATGCATTTAAAACCAGTTTTAGACACATTGCTTAAATTCTACTTATATCTAACCCAAAGTAACAGTGTTTCCAGCATAAATTAGTCTTGTCAGTTAGAACAGGACAGAACAACATTGTGGAGTGTTGTTACTTCTCAGTACATGCCACTTTAACATGTTTAACTAGAATTTTATTTGGACTTTAAGGGTGTACAGAAGCCAGTATTTCTAGTAAATTTCACTTCACATATTCTCAGACTTTGTACAGGTTTTAAGTTTACTGGTTTTATACTCAAGTTTTCTAACAAACTGAAGGTTACTTGGCAGGCAAAGGATTTAGTTTAAATCATTTTTTTTCTTCTTAAAAGGTCTGTAGGTCTACCTATATATACCACATGGCTTGTTCATGTTTGTAGCTGAGCATTGGTTTGCAGACTATGACAGTTTCACGGACAAACCAAGCTCTTGACATGCGTCCTGGTTCTATGAACTAAAATGTTATTCCAGCCAGTGGATCTAACGCAGTGCTCATGGACATTTATCCATGACGGTGCTGGGAACTCACCAGACAAGCATATGAAATACTTAAATAGTGCAAAGAGTATTTCCCCTCTCTTTTTGTTTTCTGCTGGGTTCTATATGCATTATCTTAGCCAGATAATGGTAGTGATGAGCAAAGGCAGGCCTTCAGTTTTCAGTTCAGGCATCTGCTTGTCTTTCATTTTCCATTTTAGGTCAAATCACAAGGTTAACGGTATGAGCATTTGGATCTAACCTAATAAAATACTTCTGAAAGTAAAAGCTCTGAAATTTGCAGAAAAGTATTAAAGATGAAAACAATTTGCAGTTGCCAAAAGCTTTTCACGTCTCGTCCCTCAAGCAAGGAAACTTAGTTCTTGGTTTGACCAATTTATAATTTGAGTTAATAATTTATTCTTTAAGAAAAATGATGTAATTATCAGCATTATTTCAATACTTTGCTTAAATCAGTGTTTATACTGGTCAGCTCAGTTTGGGTACCCATGGTTTTTGTACTATTACAAATATCTCAATATGTAGTAAGTGATGTTAGCAGAAAACTTGAACTTTTGGAAGTCAACTCTCCAAAATAACTTTTCGGTTATTTTGTCTGAGTCCTTTAGCTGCCAAAAAAAAAAAAAAAAATCCAAAACCACAACATCCCAACCCTTACAATTACAAAATACCTTGAAGTGCTATGCAGAGGTTTGGGAATATGTGGCGTTTTATGAATGAATTTAGATTCTGTACCTCTTAGTTGATGAAAACTGAGTAGTGGTGTAAGCATATTTCTCCCATGTGAAGTTTTGTCAGACAAAAACAGCAGGATTGGATGTAAGGTCTTTTTTAAAAATAGTCTAATGATGTCTCCTTTTTTCTGGAAGATGAATTTGAGAAAAGATTGAAAACTGTGTGTTCCGTAGTGTCAGCTCATTCATGCCATTTGTATCTTTCTCTCTTTTTCATTCTTTTTCATGGTTTCTGCCAGGCTTTCCTACTTAACTCTCACCTAAGTGAGAGGTCATTGTTTGTGTAAGTACTGCAAAATAGCATTCATACCAGTGTATGAATGTTGTAGACATTTTGTGATCTACTTATAATCCTCTACTCTGTGTCTGTAGTATTAAGGACCATCCAAAGATTATGAGAAACCCCTTCAAGAAGCTATTATTTTTAATTATCTTTTCCTCACACTATTATAGTTTGTAGTTAATAGATACCTCATTGGTGTTATTGATTAATGTTTTTGTTGAAACAATAAAGTCCTGTAATATCAACATATCTGATGTTATTCAAAGAGTCTAGCTGTTCAAAATGGACGTTATATAGATAGTACTGTAGGCAGATAAGAGCCAAAGCACCAGTGGTATAAGCACAGTATGACTGTGCTTAGAGTTTGCAAATCCACTGCAAAAGTGATTGCTATGAAGAATGTAAAATGTGTCGCTACTTCACTGGCTCAGTACAACAGCCATTTCTATATAGGCATGTCTCATACTGAGGGAGTGCTCTTGTTTCTCTTCTAGCATTTGGTGGGAAGCTGAAAAGTCCCCTGAATGTTGTTTTGGTCGCCACACATGCTGACATAGTGAATCTCCCTCGGTCTGCTGGGGGAGAGTTTTGGTATGACAAAGACACGGCGTTGTTGAAAGAAATCAGGAACAGGTGAGTGGGGAGTGTATTTATGTGTGGTGTTTAAACATTGTCAATTGGAAAGAAAAAATACTAAAATGCATAGAAATATGTGCCTGCTTGCAGCCCGCAAAGCCAACTGTGTTTTGGGCTACGTTAAAAAAGGGGTGGCCATCAGGGAGAGGGAGGTGATTCTCCCCCTCTACTCTGCTCTTGTGAGGCCCCATCTGGAGTACTGTGTCCAGGCCTGGGGCCCCCAGCACAGGAAGGACGTGGAGCTCTTGGAGCGGGTGCAGAGGAGGGACACTAAGATGATCAGAGGGCTGGAGCACATCTCCTATGAGGAAAGGTTGAGGGAACTGGGCTTGTTTAGCTTGGAGAAGAGAAGGCTCCGGGGAGACCTCATTGCGGCCTGCCAGTACTTGAAGGGAGCCTGTAAACAGGAGGGGGAGCGACTGTTTACGAGGGTGGATAGTGACAGGACAAGGGGGAATGGTTTTAAACTAAGACAGGGGAGGTTTAGGTTAGAGATTAGGAGAAAGTTTTTCACCCAAAGGGTGGTGGCACACTGGAACAGGTTGCCCAGGGAGGTCGTGGATGCCCCATCCCTGGAGGCATTCAAGGCCAGGCTGGATGTGGCTCTGAGCAGCCTGGTTTAGTGATTGGCAGCCCTGCATATGGCGGGGGGGTTGAAACTAGATGATCACTATGGTCCTTTTCAACCCAGGCCATTCTATGATTCTATGATTATTCTATGATTCTGTGATATGTAAGTTTCATGATATTTTGAGTTGAGGGAGCTTGTATTGTGCAAAAATTGAAACATTTACCAATATGACAGTGAGCGAGCTGCCTTAAGTGAGCTAAAATGAGCCAAGTGGTGCAAAAATTAGTTGAGGCTCAGGAAGTCTCACCCTGTAAACACTGGGATACATGCAAAGGCCCATATCAGCCATCTGTCTAACATCTTGGTTGTCAGATTTTGCACCACTCTCAAAAAAGTGGGCAATTCTCAGCTACAACCTCTGGGTGCAGGAGACGAAGACTTAAAAGAGAGCCACACTTTGCTCTGAATTGATTTAGGATGGGTAGGAAAAAAACCAGGCCTGGAGGTACTCCCTACACAATTTGTAAAGAGCTGGACATTGTGGAGTCATACAGGTGACAAGGTCATCCAAGAGATATCTAGAAGTTAGGGAAACTTCTGCCCTTCCTCAGCAAATGGTTGGAGGGCATGCTAATTGTACATGGAAACAGGGAATTTTCCACAAATATACTGCTGTATAAAGTAACAATTATTTGTATTCCCAGTGAGCACATAAATGGGTAACGTGGGGTATGAGGAACCATCCATACCTGTGAGTATAGACACTTGTCTGGACTTGAAAAGATACAGATGTAGGAATTCCAGCACAATAGTAGGAGAGCAGCATCTTAATCAATTGAAATAAACCAACAGAAAATACCTGTGTGTAACCTTTGGTGTTGGAATCCTTTTAAATGCGAATCAGTCCAAAGCTAGGAAAACAAGGATGTGCAGTTGAAAAGTCAAAAGGAGCTAAGAGTTGGTGTCAATAGCAATTACAACTGAACTATTTAAAGTGAGAAGAAGGAAAACAACAAATGCAAAGATCTTAAAAATAATTAATTCATTCTGTCCCTTCTGGAGTAAAATATTTGGTTTTGTAATTACAAGCCTTGTGATGCAGTTGTAATTTTCTTACACATCTTCAGCCATCATCCTTAGAAAAGACAATTTTCTCTCTGTTTATTTTCAAGAAAATTTGAGAGCAGCTATACTGTCTGTGCTTATAAAATGTCTTAGCATAATCAGTACTTAAACTTTTTCATCATTCCTTGAAGAAAAATAACTTTTGTGTAATTTAAGACTGAAGTACAACTTGCTTAAGAAATAAAACTATTTGGGACTAAGTAAATAACTGCTCACCTTTTCTCTTTCAGATTTGGAAATGATCTGCAAATTTCAGACAAGTTATTTGTCTTGGATGCTGGAGCATCGGGATCTAAAGATATGAAGCTTCTCCGAAATCACTTGCAAGAAATAAGAAGCCAGATAATTTCTGTAAGTAATGTCTAATGGTGTGGGTTGGGCCAGCCAAAATGTGAAAATCTTGTGTAATAATTTACTGTAAATTTAGTACTTACGTTATGAAACTTAATTAAATTAGTGCTGTTTCAGTTTTTTTGGCAGCATGCATGACAGCCTTGGTGATAAAAAAACTTCAAATATTAAAGATTCTGTCAGCATTTTAAAAATCATAGGTGTTTTGTACAGGTCACCAAGATGATATCTCTTGAAATAAAACAATTTGAGAATTTCAGTTCAAAGTTAGTTTCATATTTTGAATTGATAGTGATTGGATTCCAGCATTGACTCTTCTTTTTTGTTTGTTTAACATTTTTTTAATCAGCATAGTATTACAGAGAAGCAGAATATATTTCAGGCAAATAAGTTTTTCCATCAAAAAAACACCACCAGAGTAGAACAGTTTCCTCAACTGCCAGAAAGATAATTTCCAGTATAGATGTGCAGACTGTATATGCGTTAACTTTTTACCGCACTTTTTTAATGAAATATATATGCTTGGAATTGTATATATGTGTATGTATGGGTATATGAGACTAAAGTTAAAATAGCCATGGTTTGATGTCATCACTGTGAATCCACAGAGATTTCCATACTGAGGGTGACCAAGTCGCTTTGTAGCCCATGTTAATTGGATTTAAATTTCTTCATAACAAAGGCCCTCTTACTTATGCGACACACCAATAAGACTTTCTGCAGCTACTTCTGATAGGTATTAAAAAAAAATAGTAATTAAAAGGGAATGTATTACTGAGTTCATTCTGTAGGTGAAGGAAGATATTTGGTTTTATGCAAAATTCAGTATATTTTATGTTCCAAATGGTCTCTTGATTTAATAAGCTTTTCTTCTGTGACGAAACTTTATCGCAGCTGTGGTCACTAGCTTAAAATCTGGAGGGCTTTGCTGCATAAGAACTGTGTGCTCTGGCTTGAGAGTGTAGGATGAAGACATAAGTGATGTCCAAGACAATCAATAGATTAAGGTCTTTTCCAGCCTTTATGATTCTGTGATAACAGTACCACACTTCTTATCTGGTACTCTCCTGTCTCACGTGTTGAAACAAATTGGTCCTGTACAGGTATTGATGACAACAGATTTTAAATAAATGTTGACAATTTCTGAAATAAAGATTAACTTCTAGATACATGAAGGCAGTTAATACATCTTGAAGTCAGTTTCAGGTGGTCAGCACATTTGACAAGGCAGGACTAGATAAACCAAACTTGTGAGCATTTTCTTTGTAATCATGGTGATGTTTGGAAAGTTGCCATATTTCAGGGAAAAATATGTTTCTGGAATACTTTATTAAGAAAAGTTAATTATGGCAAGTGAATGCCAGATGGAGGTGTAAGGGTCCGTCACAAGGGGAACTCTTTAGATGTGAATATGCATCATGGATGCATTAGACCTTGTAACCTCCATTAAAATTTAAAAAAAAAAAAAACAACAACAACAGTACTCTTATTCTCAGCAGAGTAGAATTACAAATGCATGCTTTCTGTGCTTTTGTAAGACTTGCCCACCTATGACTCATCTGTGTGAAAAAATAATCTCAACACTGCCTTCATGGAGAAAAATGAACGGACCCAACCAGCTGATGTCCTTGCAGCAGTTCGTATATGACGTACAGGAACAGCTTAATCCCCTAGCAAGTGAAGATGACCTACGGCATATTGCACAGCAGTTGCACAGCATAGGAGAAGTAAGTGTTTTTATCTAAACTGCAAATCTTTATTAGCAAGGTACTGCTCTGGTAGAATATTACTTAATGTGATTTAAGCAAATGTCTATAGTTATTTTTTTCTCCTCTCTCTTAAAGACATCAGAAGGTAGAGATTGGTTAGTAATGCTTTTTGTTATCATTATGGCCTTGTGGCTCTTATTTCATTCAACGTTATTTCTTTGAGACAGGACGAATTAGAATTTATTGCTATAGTTGTAAGAATATAGAACTCCTCCCAGAGGAGGGCCGTGAAGATGGTCAGAGGGCTGAAGCACCTCCTGTATGAGGACAGGCTGAGAGAGTTGGGGTTGTTCAGCCTGGAGAAGAGAAGGCTTTGGGGAGACCTCATAGCAGCCTTCCAGTACTTAAAGGGGGTCTACATCAGGTAGTGTAGCAACAGGACAAGGGGTAGTGACTTTAAGCTGAAAGAGGGCAGATTTAGATTAGGTATTAGGAGGCAGTGTTTTACTGTGAGGGTGGTGAGGCACTGGCACAGGTTGCCCAGGGAAGTTGTGGATGCCCCATCCCTGGAGGTGTTCAAAGCCAGGCTGGATGAGGCTTTGCCCAACCTGGTCTGGTGGAGGGTGTCCCTGCCCATGGCAGGGGGGTTGGAACTTGATGATCTTTAAGGTCCTTTCCAACCCAAACCATTCAATGATTCTATGAAAATACTCATGGTAAGTATGCTATCATCTTAAATGAGGTAGTTCACTGCATGTGAGTAATTTATGTGTGTCTTTGCATCAATTGCTTGCAGGGCATGGCTAGGCTTTACAGCTGTTGGGCTGTAATGGCTTCGTTACTAGTGGAAATCAAGAAGAAGATCTGCTCTTTGTTCTGAATATTTGCAAGAAATGAAAATGTTTGTTTTTCTTCTGTCAGCAGTGTTAATGAAATTATTGTGTCAGTTAGCTAGGAAGGTGAGAACATGGCCTATCATCTTGTACTTCACAGGATGTAAACAGTAACTTTCATATTTATAAACAGATTAACATTATGCAGAGTGAAACTGTCCAGGATGTTGTGCTTCTGGATCCTCGCTGGCTCTGTTCAAATGTTCTTGGAAAAATTCTGTCAGTGGAGAACCCAAAAGCCCTCCATCACTATCGAGGTCGGTACACCATAGAGGACATACAGCGTCTCGTGACAGACAGTGATGTGGAAGAACTGATACAGATCTTGGATGCCATGGATATTTGTGCAAGGGACCTTAGCAGTGGAGCAATGGTGGATATTCCTCCTCTCATAAAGACTGACAATCTCCACAGGTCTTGGACAGATGAGGAGGCTGAGGTGCTGATTTATGGTGGTGTTAGAATCGTTCCTGTGGAACATCTTACCCCATTTCCTTGTGGAATTTTTCATAAAGTTCAGGTGAATCTCTGCAGGTGGATTCATCAGCAGAGCACAGAGGGAGATGCTGATATTCGCCTGTGGGTAAATGGATCAAAGATTATGAATCGTGGAGCTGAGCTTTTAGTGCTTCTGGTCAACCATGGTCAGGGTATAGAGGTTCAAGTTAGAGGACTGGAAACAGAGAAGATCAAGTGCTGTTTACTTCTGGATTCTGTATGCAGCACCATTGATAACTTAATGGCCACAACCTTACCAGGCCTTCTGACTGGGAAATACTACCTTAGTCCTCAGCAGCTGAGGGAACATCATGAACCAGTAATGGTCTACCAGCCTAGAGACTTTTTCCGTGCACAGAGTCAAAAGGAGACATCACTGACTAACACTATGGGGGGATATAAAGAGAGCTTTAGCAGTATACTGTGTTTTGGGTGTCTTGATGTCTACTCCCAGGGAAGCCTAGGAATGGATATTCATGTCTCCGATCTGAATCTACTTACCAGGAGAAAACTAAGTCGACTTTTGGATCCACCTGATCCTATGGGCAAAGATTGGTGCCTGCTGGCCATGAACCTGGGCCTCCCTGATCTTGTTGCAAAGTACAATACAAATAATGGAACACCAAAAGACTTTCCCTCAAGCCCAGTCCATGCCCTTCTGCAGGAGTGGAGTAATGCTCCTGAGAGCACTGTAGGTATTCTGATGTCTAAGCTGAGAGAATTAGGTCGCAGAGATGCAGCAGACTTTTTACTGAAGGCGTCTTCTGTTTTCAAAATAAATTTAGATGCTAACGGTCAAGAGGCTTATGCTTCCAGTTGCAACAGTGGCACATCTTATAACTCGATTAGCTCTGTAGTGTCACGATAAGAACAGGTGTTTTGCATGGACATCTTTTCAAACTGCGGAGAGGATGAAAGAGTATAACTGTTCTGTGCATTTTCATTTATCAGGTTTTACATCAAAGGATCTTTATCCTTCTCCAGTACCACCTTTTTGTGCATAAACTTTCTTCTTTTAACTATTAAAAACGCTGGTGTACGTCTGGTGTTTTAAAATTATTCCTGATACATAATGTGCTGCTTAATACTACCATTCTAACTGGAAAGTCTTAACTTTGGATTACTGCAACTATTTTCTAAAATATTTTGATTCTCCCCACAAAAGATAGGGGGAGAAGAATAGCACATATGACCTGAAATGTGTATTTCTTAACACACATTTTTTTCTTTTTATTGTGTCCTCTGGTTAACATTTTTTTATATTTGTAAGGGGAGAAATCCACCATTTGTGGTCAATCTGACTGAACTTAAAACTCTACTGTTTATAGTTGACAAAGCGAGTGCCTTTTGCAGAAGGGAGGGTGCAGTTGATTTGAATGACCCTGCTGGAGTTACAAGAACATGCTACCTCTGTTTCCCTTAAATTGTCTGCATGCTTATCATTGCAAGTGGTGCTTGCCTTTTAATTTTTCCTGCACTTCTGAGACATTGGTGATAACTCACGCAGAGCATTATTGTGCCAGTACTATGGGTATAGACATGTGATGCCTAATCAACTTCAATTACAGTCAAATCATAATGTGAAAATCTCTTAAACTTGCCAATTTTCATGCTTCGTTATTTTCATGCACCTCAGGTAAAAGTTCATATCATTATAGAGTTCAAAAAACACAAGTGTTGGATACTGCAGAATAATATTGTATAGCTGTCAGTTGTAATTGGTGTATAACGAAGGTTTTCTACTATTAGAATCCTGCATTACTTACTTCCTCTACTTGAAAACTTTGATGGGGATAAAAACAAAAAGGAAGCAAGGTTTCTTGCAGTGATAACTTGAAAATTGATATGAGGGAATATGACTTATTCTCTGTTCTAAAAAGCATGTGATTTTAATGGTGCAATGTGTGTTTGTTTATATATATTGTATGTACATATATTAATACTATTTTTTCCTTAATCTTACAATGTAGTAAAATTTTAAAGGATTTTTCTACAAATAAACTGTTGCTTGTTCCATCTTTGTCATTCATATTCTGTAGCTGAAAGGGACCAAAACATCTCTTTTCCTTACAGTAGCAATCCTGCAGAGGCAATGCCTGGCTCTGAAGCTCTGGGAACCTCCTGTTTCACTTCAGGGGGATGTCTCAGTACACTGGAAGAATATTTATTTATTTGTTTACTGCAGAGGTGGTCCCTCAGCAGTGAGGAATTTGGATTAATTTTGACAAATGGCATGCCAAAGCAGTTTGCTACATAGCTTTTCCTTTGTGTTTTTTTACAATGACAATCAAAACAGCAGATGCAAGTCTGTCATTGGGAATCCTCCAGACTGTGCTGTGTTGCAAAGGGGGAGCACACTGTGTTTGAGCCTGTCCTGCGGTAATGGTCCTTTACATTAAGGATTCCCTCATCACACCAGGAACTGTGCTGCCGCTGCTTATTTAAATTCTCAGCATCACTCACTGATAACTGCATAGACTGTACAGCACTCTGTGCAGGCAGCTCTGCACAGTACCTCCTCCCTGTGTATGGTGCAAAGGAATTAGATGGACTCTTCTTAAAATGCTAATTGCTGTTTCCCACGGCCTTTCTTTGCATATTTTACCCTTGCTTCATTAAATCCTTCCCTGGGCGTTTCTGGGTTCCTTTGTTAAATATTTCTTAAAAGTCTAGTCCTCAATGAGAAGTCTGGTTAATGAGCAGTCCTACGCTTAGGTGTCTCTGCTCCGATATTCTTCTGCCTCTGACAAACCAAGTTCAGCATCTCCCACCACTGCTCAGAGTTGCTCAGTGAAGAGCCCAGCTTCCCGCAGCCCGTATTTGCCCATGTTACTTCATGGTCACCACCACACTTCACCTTCTAGCTGTGGACATGTTCAACACTTCTGTCAGATGTTGGTATGTGGAGGGGTCTTTCTCATCTCGTAAGACTTTCTGGTTTTCTAGCTGGTTTCTTTAGACCTGTTCCTCAGGCATCAAACTTGGAGTTACCTTCACCGAGTCTGTGTGCCTGTAGAGGAGTAGGACGTGGTATCACAATTCCTGTGAGAGCAGAGACTGCGTTGAGATGCTTTTCCCATGCAGGGCTGTCAGTGGTTAATTCACCACTGTACTGTTTGTGGTGGAGTGGCAAGATTTTGAAATGCTAGGTAGCTCCTCCCCTCCCTGCCTCCCCAGATGCTCTGTGCGCACTCAAGATAACGTGGTCAGCTACCAACATTGAGGCAGTAGTCTTTTTTTTTTTCTTTTTTTTTTTTTTTTTTCCCTCCCCAAACAGCATATTCCTGACAATTCTCTGCTTCCCTTTACTGTAAAATGCAGCCCCGGGAGTATAAATTACTTAGCAGTTGCTGTGATGTATCTTTGAATGGCAGTTACAGCCTGTTGCGTCATTTACAGTTTTCATGGTAATAGGTTCAGGAAAGTGAATCACAGTCATAGGATAGCTTTGGATTGCTTTCCTATAAATCATGTGCCACTGACATTAACCAAAAAAAAAAAAAAAAGAAAAAAAAAGTTGTTTGTCCTGAATGGCAATTTTGACAAAAAAAAAGGATAGCAAAGTAATACAAGTGAGGATCCCTTCAGTTGCTTCACTTGTATTGATTTCCTGCTGTGCTTTGTGAATGCAACTAGGAGCAGAGCTTCATTCCACAATTTTTAGAACGATGTTTAAAATGTGCTGATCCTGCCTGACTCACTCCAGAAATGGAGGAAATGCAAGTCTTTGCAAGATTAGCCCCAATGTTCATTTTGTCTTCAAAATCTGTAATATAGACAAACTCTAAACCTTGCAACACATTGCAAGGCCAAGATGTATGACACATGATCTTGCAGTTTGGAAATGTATGTTACTGACATCTGGACTCAAATTCTGAAGAAATTTTCTGGAGAAGAAGAAGATAGGGAAGAAACAAGCTTTTCAGTGCAAACTATTTTTCCAAGTAGTCTCTCTCCCTGGCATGCAGCAGCATGCACAGGATAGGAAAGTGCTTCGTACTGGTATTTGTAGTAGGTTTTACTGGTTTTACTCTCTGTGGGAGTTTTGCTGTTGACCTGACTGGTGAGTTTGGAAAGCCACAAGAGATCACTGGCTACATGCAAATTATTTTGCGGGTGGGACAAAAAGGGCATCCAGAGATGACCTAAGGTGGAGATATATATATGTATATGATTCTTCTCGCCTTAAGAGGATGTAAATTGGAGACAGCCACAGGATGTCTTGTGATTCAAATGATTGAGGAAGAATTATGAAACTACAGCAGTTTAGCAACTCCCAAGTGTCAAGAGACTGACAGAGCCAGGAGGCTTAGGAAGGAGCCAGAGCACAGTTTCCTAAATGGTCAGGTCTTCACAGAGAGCAACAGTGAAGCTGTTACAGCTGCCTGTGCTGAAGCCAGTGCCAAGTCCTAAACCTCTGCTGGTTGCATTGCCCATTCCAAGGAGAAGTTACCTGTTAGTTCATTGCAATCTTTCTATTCCAAAGATGCTGTATTGCAACATCATTGTTTAAAACAGCTGCCTTGATTTGAATCGCATTATTATTATCAGTTTTTCAATGAAATGGAGGAGTAATGCCCAAGTTGTAACTCGAAGTAAATGAAGTGTGCTGTTGGCTGAAACCTTTCTAGGTCAGCAGAGATGGAGCAATGCAGTATCTTCTTTGAAGGTGGCCTGAAAGCACTATCTGCAGTATTAAAATTTACTTCTATTTGACTTTTTGTTTGTTAAACTCAGTCCAGTGGGTCACAAAAACATTATACATGACCACATGTCACATCTTTGTCTGACTTGGAAGGTAAGGTAGTGGGTACAAAAGAGGAAGAAACTTTTTAACAATGCCTAAGGCACTTGGTTTCCAAAGGGTTACAGCCAAGCCAACTCAGACTTTGGAGGCAGAAGTGTTTGGGTCTCCAAAAGTCAGATGAGCTGTAGATAGAAGAGGACTGATGGTATTCCTCTGTGTGGCTACACCATTTATCATAACAGGCTTTACAGGAACAATGGGGCCAGCAGCCAGTGCTGCCTCAAAGCCAGATGAGGATCTCAGTGGACCTGGGTCAGGTTTGTATTAACCAAATTGACTTAGTTAGCATTTCTGCACCAGCCAGACTACCCTGGGTGAGGTCCAAATCCAAAACATGCATATTTAAAGATCATTGTTCAGAATGCAACCATGCTGCTGAGTCAGTTGGATGTACCATAAAAATCACAGCCCTGCCGTGAGACAGAGCAAACCTGCACTGTCTTGCCCAAACTGTGGGTCCTGCTGTCTCTGAGGCTGGGACACGTACACAACTAATATGCACTTACATCTTCTAGGCAGAGAGGAAGAATCCTGTGCAGGGTGATAAGGGGTCTTGCACAGGAGTAAATGCTTAGGCATGCTGCATCTTACTCACATGGGTTTGCTGGCAAAGAAGTGTTGACAGCCTGGGCCCATACTTCCTCCTCTTGCTGCAACATCGTAGCACCTCTTGCAACGGTTGAGGCATTTCTAGGGGCTCTGTGTCCATGTTCAGGAATACACACTCCCTGGTATCTGCACAGGATCCAAAGAGCGCAGCTCAGTGAGGCACCTTCCCCATGGTCTCAGGTGCTGTCACAGCTGATAGCTGACCTCAAGAACCTTTGGGCCATAACTGTTGGAAGTATGGTCAGGATGCTTCTGCTGCATCTCAGCACCTGAGGTGGGGAGGGGGGGGTGTTAACTGGCAAAAGGAGTGAAATTTGCATGAGTGACTGAGGGCTGGGTGAGACACCAGCATGTGGTGCACCTGGAGGGGAGGATAAAGTTGTGCTGTTCAAAACTGTTGTCAGTGAAACATGGGAGAGAAGGGAGGGCTCTTGTATTAGGAGGGTTAGACTGCTGATGCTGTTAAAAGATCGCATGTGTATGACTCTGAGTCACTGTGTGCTTCACTTTTTGAGCTGTTCGTGCGTTGCAAATTCTGTTATTTTAGCCTGGCCACAAAGAAGTATACATTGATCATTATAGTCTTTTTTTCCCCCTAGAGATCAATCAGTCTTACTCGCACACCCCCTATACGGGACTGCTTACTAAGGCAAAATGTATGTAGTAG